GGCTGTTATATCTCTGCCAGAAGTGCTTTGGGAAGTAGCTCTTTGAAATTGTGCTGAAGAATTCAAATGGTTCTTGTTCTTTTCAGATTCTTGCATCATCCCCATCATTATATGAGCGCCCTCCAATAATTTTGCTATCTGCATTCCACACCCCCTCCCCCGGGAGAAAATAGCATGTTTTGATGATGATTATTACTATTACTTATTCTAATTTTAAAAAGTCATACCAGTCTCTCTTTATTTGTGAAGGCAAGTGGCACAGGGTTCTTAGCTTGGTGGTTTGTGAATGCAGTTTTCATTGCTCTTAAGAGGTTTTTGTAGAATTAACACTAAAGTGACCCAAGTCACTCCACTGTTTTCTGGAAAAATAAAATGTAGCATTCTGATAAAACGGCTGTTTTGGAATGGTCAGCTGCAGTCCCTGTGTAGAGGTTTAGGCAACATTCAGTTATCACCTATTGTGGACGTTCTAGTTCAGCCATGAAGGGACTGAGCCGTTTACAGCCTTTCTTTCTAGCCATCAACTGCAGACTGTATCGCTCATGGATACTGCATGAGGACTTAGTGTGAAGAAACACTCCTGGGCTGTGGACTGATTTTAAGCAATCACAGTCAGGATGCACATTCTTGATTGAAGTGTTTCTAAAGCAGGATTTGACAGTGTTCTGCAAAACACTAGGCTGTCTCAGTGACAGTAGTAGTCTTCTGTTGTGAAGGGCAGGTGGCACTAGAGGTCAGCGAATTCCCAAACATTTTGTTTTAACATTGGAATGCATTCATTTGAATTGAGCTTGAGTTAGTTTGATCTTAGAATAAAAAACAAAACAACTAAATGAAAGACTCATAGAACTCCAGTAAGTGTTATCATTCCCTTTCAAACAGGTGACATTGAAGTTGAAGATGGGTGGCGGAGAAAGATTCAACATTCCAGTTCCCCAGCCTAGAAATATTAACAAGAATCACCAACAACTTAAAAACAGGCAAAAAAGCAAAGATCAGAATTCTCAGATGAAGATTACCTATAAGAAGAAAGAAAGGGGGCATGGATGCAACTCATCATCTGTTGCATGGCAGGCCATGCAAAAAGGAGGAAAGAACGCTGTGCACTTCCAAAATAATCAGAATTGGAATCCTGCTTTATCGAGTCCCAACACACTCTTTACATCTCGAACCAATCAGAACTATGCTGGAGCAAAATTTAGTGAGCCACCTTCACCAAGTGTTCTTCCTAAACCACCAAGCCACTGGGTACCTGTTTCTTTTAACCCTTCTGATAAAGAAGTAATGACCTTTCAACTTAAAACATTACTAAAAGTCCAGGGTTGAGAGAACTTGAAACACATTTAAAATTACAGGGTTTCAAATTTGAGAATTAGTCAAATACATAGTTCCAAAATGTACTCTTTCTCATGAGATTGCTTTGTTGCATATATAAGTTGTGTCATGACTGGAGACAGTAGGACTTTTCTTAAAGATCCCAAACTTCCACCTTATCCAGGTTTGGTGTATTTTACTGTGAAAAACATATTTACTGTTATGCAACCTAATCAGTTTTTTCAGTGGCTATTAATGCCTGCATTTACTGTATTGGTCTTAATTTGAACTGTTCTCAAATTTGAAGTAATGCTACTAAAAAAGCTGGGTATTTCAGTGGGTGAGAGCTGCTGTTATAAAACCAACTTTTCTATAATGTAATGCAGCAATAGAAAGAGTATGCAACTTACAGAACACTATGAAATCTTTAGAAAACAAAACTACTATCTTTCACACTTACAGGTCCATCAGTCATATGAAGTCTTAAGGCTAATTAGCAAGTCTTTCTAAGCAAGCCTCTATCTGGCTCCAGTTGTATCAATGAATTTTTACTTGGCATTTGTCAGTCATCAGTTGACAGGGCAGACTAACATCCAAGCCTGTGACCAAGACTTTGACTTACAGAAAATTTACTCCAAATTTTGGGGGGGAGGGTAAAGAGAGTCAAAGGAAATAACATCTTGAGCTTCACCAAAATATTAGCAATGCATTTATCTAGAACTTGACCAAGTTGAAGTGTGCCAACTAATGCAGCACTTTGCAGTGCCAGGTGACTGCTAAAAACTTTTACAACCTTTCCTTATTTGGATTGCACTGAGCAGCTTTTAAAATGCATTTTTGTATTGGTTTTATACATCTGGAAGAACAGAAATTAGAGTTGTTCAGGTTAGTGTTAAATTTGCATACCTGGTAATATGAATGTTTAAATTAGTGAAGCTTGTGGTGAGTGTAAAACTTGTTTAAATATATAGGGAAGAAAGAGCCATGTAAATAAATGTAAAACTTTGTAGCATATGTAAATTTATGCTGGGCTTTCCTGCAGAAAATATTTTTACTACAAAACTGTTGAATGTAAGAAGACCATGCTGAGTACATGGCCTGATTTAAAAGGAAAAAAAAATATTTTGTTAGGGAAAAAAAAAAACTGTAAAAGCACATGTGGCTGTGCCCTTGCACTTATGTACCAGTGAATGTGCACGTGTTTGATTTGAAGCCGTCTTATTTTTAAAGTAAATTTAATGCAAAAAACAGCATATTGATTTTTTTTTTTAACTTTTTAAAAAAAAACTTTAAAGTTATACGTGCTCATGTTTTGAATGCATAAATGATGGTATCTATGATTTATTGCAATGCACCTAAATGCATTGAAATCGATTCAAGTCTTTAACCATAGTTGTTTGGATACATACATGCTTGAGATCTGGTGGCCTAGGATTTAGTGTGATTCTAGCTGGGTTTTATCAGTCTCCCTGTTGTTGTTTTTTTAAATTGTTGAACATCATATATCAAAGGAATTAATGAAGATTAAGCCACTTGGCACCTGGTTTTCATAAATTATAACTTCCTTGTCACCATGTCTCAATAACACTGAATATAAAAATTGAGTAAGTATAAAGCCCTTAAGAACTTGGTTTGCAGTGTTTGCAGCCAGCATGTGGGTATTTAAATAAAGGCTGGTGCTTTTATTAAAACCCAGTGCTTGGTTTTGTTGAGTGATGCCATAAACTATCATCTAGAAAATGGTGCTTCTGTAGTAAATGCATGAAAACTTGAATTGTGGCATACTAAGGAATACATGAAGTATCTGTTTAAAATGCAGGTCTAGTAGATTGTGAGTAAGCAGTTTAAATGAAGTTACAAAATGACTTATTTCAGCAAATAAGTTCAAGTACTCAAGATGCACTTAAGTACAATACATTGTTTATACATTCAAAATGTTGGCAGCTATTGGAATGTTTAAAAATGCACTAATCCAAAAAAAATTGGCAATATCTTAAATTTATCATCATCCTTATTTTCCAAACTTTCACTGAATTAAAAATTATAGCCCAAATCTAAATGTGTTTGTATTCTAAAATTAAATTTTATGAAGTACTGCATGTACTTTTATGGATTGGAAATCATAAAAGCAAAATAAACTACCTAACCTTTTCTCCCCCAAATGTGTCTGGTTTTTTTTCTTTTTAACCTGCAATAAGATGGCTAAGGGGATGGGATTCTGTATGGTCTGGTGAGAACAAGGTACTGTCTGAGTCTAAACTTAAGGGTTGGAGCACCAGTCCAAAACACTTCACGTTCTTCAACAAGAGCTGACCAGCTATTTAGGAAGAATTTTAATGAGTGAGAGTAAAGTAGTTTCTTGAATTAAATGCTTGCTTTTTAGAGCAGGGAGATGGGAATTAAATCAGAATGATACATTTGAAAAGCAAAAGGAATGAACTAGGATTTGAGAGAGATTAAGAAAGTAGCTCTAGTAGCAAGAATTATCCTGAAAATGTGCATCCTGGTATACTTCTATACTGTGTTAACTTTTCACTACCTGCCAGACTCTTCTTGTAGAGTATGCACTTGAAAGGCACCATGTTATGACCAGTGACACTACTTCCTGTACTTTAAGGAAAACAATTTCTAGCTCCTTTACAGGGGTAAGAGAGTAACTTACATTAAGGACAATCACTTATCATAGGCTGCTCAGTTTTTTTACTGAAATTTGCCCCACTTATTTTCTAGTTTTATGCTTCTGTAATTAGTTTTGCCTCATAAAATCCAAAACTTTTTTTTTTGCCAGCTTCAAGACTTTTTAATTTCCTCATGCAAAACACTGATTTTTATTTTTAAAAGACAGAAAACTTGGGCATAAGTCATTAGACTCCTAGTTTCTGAGAATGGATGCTTGAAATAAAAAAAAATAAGTCTTGATTTCTTTACACTATTTCTGGTTCTGCAAGGTGCTTGAAATAACAGGAAATAGCGCAGGGCTTACTTCTAGATCTTAAGTACTTTTAGAAGATATTAAATGAGATGCAAGGTCAGCCTGCCACTTTTAGCAATAATTGTGCAAAATACATTTTTCCAAATGCAAACCAGAACACAATACTCTGGCTAGCTGTGTTCTGTTGAACTTTTTTGAGCACTGAGTTCTGAAGTGTCAACTGAGCAATGTTTCTTTCCTTAGCCTTTAATTCTCTAGTGGCTCCTCTAGTGTGGGCCCAAAGGAAACTTACCCTTTCGTTCTTTCACAGTGGGTGACTACTTTGCAACAACACAAATACAGCTCTTATAAAGTGTTCTCACATTGCCAAAAGCCCATAAATTTTTATTCCAGAGTTAAAGGATTGGCACAGGTAGAACACAGAAAATTTAAGACAAAATGGTGAATACAAATAAGATAGCATCATCTTTTGACCAGATACACTATAGAGTATATAGTCCTCCCCTCCCCATGGTTTTTCTTTATAAGGAGGATAGTCTCTATGTGTGATTGCAAAAGAATTCCTTTAAGGCTCTTAGTAGGCTGCATTTTACATTTATATTGTAAAAACTAGTCTTAGTAAGAGAAATTCCTTAAGTCAGAACATTAGGAAAAAAGTTATTTTAAGTTGTTATACCACACACAGGTCCACTGAAAAAGTTTCAAGAGCATAACAGCCAAAGCAGCTTTTAAGCTGAAAGTCTCAAAAAAAAAAATCATGGCTTTATTAAATACAGGTTGAAGAGAAATATGAGACTGTAACATCTATTTCAAAGACAACAGCACACAACACTAACTCTGAGTGCCATATTGTTATTCTCTTAGTTCAGGACTTTTCCCCTCATCAAATTTAGTTAGGTGCATGGACTTCTGGATTTACCCCTACCCGTAGGATGCAGAGGTTCCGATACAGCCTTCTGTAGCATAATGGTTCTCAGCTGTAACCTTTCAAATTTAGAATTTACACATTTTAATTATACATAATTTGCATGCATGGTAAGATTAGTTAACCACAGAAAATCATACCTCCTACCATTTTTTGTTACAAAGGAAAGATGTTTACATCTCTTCTTTTGCAGCCTGCATTTAAAAACATCCCATTTATATGCAACTTCCAGATCAGTGCCTTTTGTGGAAACTGTTTTTAGTGCAGGACTAAAATGTGTGCATCAGGGAGATGTTATTTATAGAGGCTGCAACTTGACTTAGTTTCATGTATAACCAAAGGGGAATTTAATACCTTTCTGTCCTCAACTGAAAAGCTCCAGAAAATAGTCTCTTATTTTTACCACAGGTCCCAGAACTAAGGTAGCATCTTTATTCTTGTAACTCTGTAAGATTTATTTTCAGCTTTTCCAGCTTACTCATATACACAAAAAGTAAAATTAGATTTTCCCTAATTGCATCAAAAAACCTCTGATGATGCCACTTAAAAAACCCCCAACAACTTAGTAATTTTCTTTCTGAACTGTTTGATGAGATGGCTATTTCAGCTGTAACTGTGCACTTCTGATATATTACATGACATGGTAGAAATAAAACAAGTGTTCGCCATTTCTTAAAATTTTTGTTTTTGTATGCGTCTTTAAATATGAGTTACCTCCCACTCAGGATCTGGCTATTGAACCACCTCAAATATGACAAGATGGGGAAGCTGTGGGGTTATGGAGTATTCTTGATGATGGAACTTAACAGAAGGATTAATGACAACATAAACTAGCCTAAAAAAGCCCAACTTGGCATTTTTCTTCATTTCACGTTAACTCTCTTAAGAGGACAGTGATTCAGCTGGATATCCTGCAATAAAGAACTGAAATTCCTTTATTATTAAACCAAAGGGGGCACCACTGTTCCTAACCTTGCTCTGGAGTCAGATACTAAAGCTGGAATAATTCCAATGGATCGATATTTCCTTCATTTCATTTTATTACAGCATGTTTGCTAAATTTACAGCAAGCAGAAAATAAGCTGGGTCTTTAGTTACTTTGATCAAAACATTGATGTTTTAAAGGTAGTACACAATATTTGTTAAAAAGAACATATAAAAATACCTTTTTAGAAGCCTCTATAAGAAAGGAAATACAAAGTTTAATCCCACAACTTTCCTCTGCTAGAGCTGCACGCTACTGCTACAGTTTTAAATAGACTTTGTTGTTTTTAAACTATACATCCAGGAAAGTCTACAAAATTAAAGGAACGTGCATATAAATGATTGCATAGCAGAACATGAACGTTAACTGCATACAGTAAAGAAAAAGTTAGAAATACTATTAAATATACAAAGGTTCTAGAATCAATCCCCTAAGCACGTTCCACAGCCAATATTTAAAAGCCATCTGTGTTTCCGCAAAGGCCCTGCTGAAGTTACTAAAACCAAAAACCTATGTTTTTCTCTAAAAAGGATACTATTTTTCACCAACATCTTTATGTGCTACTATACAGACAGCAAGGAACACTAGGTGTTTGATGCTGGCTCTCAAATTTGAATATAAAAAACATCGCCAGAAGCCATTTTCATAACAAAATATCTTGCCTTCCAGAGAAATATTTGTGAGATTACATATTAGTTTTGTAATTATTTTTTCCGCATTCAATTTACCAAAGATACTGTGATAAACAAAACAGCCAGAGATGCAGCTCTTGTTCATGTCCAACCTGGAACATTTGTTATTTAAAACTAAATATTGTAACCCAAACACTGAACAGTCTTGGACTAAAGGGTATAAATTCAGACTTGTTCAACTACATAAATTTTGAAGTGTAAAAGCAAGCCTTTAGTTACTCAAGAAGAGATGGCTAAATTTGATATCTATCAATACACCAACTAACCACAAGAGTCATTGGCATAAAAGTTCAGTTCTTACGTACTGTACACACACAACTTGAAACAATCTACTTGCATCTAACAGCAAAAAAAACTAAGCAATTTATGGTTAACTGCTCACTAAAATTTAGAAGAGATACAAAAACTGCATAAAACATACACACAACCTAGTATTTTAGCTGCTCTGTAATTTTAAATTTGAACTTAATTTTCCATTTTAAGTGTTCTTAAGTATCTAATATTAGCAGCCAGGTAAAAGCAGCAAAGCCTCCATCCTGACAATGTTCACAACACTGCACAATCTCTGAATGAGTCTTGAAGACCGTGACTATCTCCACATACTTTATGCAATGTTAGTACCATCTCTCCAGATGGCAGGGTTAATGAGAAACTTCAACACCATCTGTCTGAGAAAGCTCCATTTACCAACCTACTCATTTAGGTAGGTATGAAGAACACAGTCCCTGTCTTTGAACAATGGAAACAAAATTGCCAGGCTGTATTTCACAGCAGTCAGCTTGCACTACAGCTGTCCAGTCTTCCGCTTGTATTGTCAAGTTAAAGAACAAGTTAAACCACGAGTTCAACTGTTCCATGCAAACCTGCACAACTTCTCTGTGCGGTACTTTTACTAGGAAAATGTTGCAAATTCTGCTCAAGTGAGTTTTATTACCAATTTTAACCATAAAAAAAATGCAAATCTTTACAAAAATATAGACACCACAATCAAATCAATAGCTGCCCGTGACATTTAACAAAGTGGACTCTCTCTCAGTGGCTTCCAACACTGTGTTATTTTAATTATAACCATTGCCTGCTACAGGGAAAACAGACAGAAAGAAAAGTTTTTAGCACTGTTGCAACATCATATTCCTGATAATTTAAGTCAACTGAACTGTGTGTAAATGAATGTTACATGCCTAAAAACAATATAGATACACTGTTAGTGGCCACTGGACTTGGGACTAGTCCATGACCGTGACCTGGATTTTGACCTAGATCTAGAATGTGATCTTGACTGAGATTTGGATCTAGCTGGTTCTTTTTTTCTTGATTCCTTTTCATATCTTGAGCTGGACTTATAGTGTGTTTTAGAATCTGTTTTAGCAGTGCCTCTAGATTTGGTGTGAGATGCAGACCTAGATCGTGATTTAGCCTTCATTTCTTTCTTGGGCTGTGACTTGGATCGTGATCTTGAATTGGATTTAGATCTTGAAAAAGATCGATTGCGGTGTTTGAACCTATCAGAATAAAGGGGAGAGATTTGAATATACACAATGCTATCCTTAGACATCTAATACATTCACAATTATTTATCATTTTTGCAAGAGAAAATTTAACCTCAACTTAAGGTATATAGTTATCTAGTTCTGAATTTAAATAGTGTAAAAATTATTTTACCTATCATTGTCCGAATGGCTTCTGCTACGCCGTGGTCTTCCAGTAGGTCTACTGCTAAAAAGGCACATCAGAAAAAGTAAACGGTGACAAATACCTATGCATGTTTGCATATGAATAATAAGTTTAGTTTTCTGAGATGTGCATTTGCTTTTAATTATTTTTAATGAAGCACAGAATCATATTTCATTGAATATCTGCTTTGATGAGGCATGCAACACACAACTCCCACACGTTAGATTACAAAGTGAGCATACAAAAAGAAAGTATTCAAAATGTTAACAAGGTAAATAGTTAATGCTTTTTCCCCTCAAACAGACTGCTGTGTAGTTGAAGCCAAACACACTACACTTACTTTCTAGGACTATAAGATCTTCTATAGTTGTAATCAAAAGAGCGACTTCTAGACCTCCTCCTTTCGTAACTCCGACTTCTAGACCGCCTATATCTGTCATAGTCGTCATAACGAGAAGAACTATACAGGTTTCTCCCTTCCTTGGCTTTCATCTGATTTGGAGCTGTAGAAAAATATTTAGCATTCTTCTGTTAAAAATAAATTTACCTTCCTACTTTCTAGATCAATCCTCTTCACGCCTTCCTCCAACAATACGAGTAATGGCTGCTTGCACATACATTTTCAAAAAACCAATTCACTGAGCTCAATTCATGAGTCACGTTGGGGCACTCTGACAAGGATAGGAAGAGGCACGTGATAGGTATGTAAGAACATGCCATCTTTATGTTTTATTGCCATTTGTCCCCTAGGGATAAAGCAGTCTCAAGACTATTCCGAGTTTTGCCCAGTTGCCCTGAAGGATGATTTGGACAAAATAAGATTGCCTTAGTATAGTGGTGCTTCTGACAGTCTCCCAAACAATACACCACATACAGTAACATAGCTTATTGTGCTGATATCAGCCCAAAGAGGGTGGTACTCAGATGGCCTTAGTAGTCAGCTTCATGGACTGATATGTCTTGACATTTCTGCCTTCTGTGTTAAGATGACACAGTCAACTGGAATTGAATCCATTTTTAAAAAGACATATTAAAGTACTTTCACATATTACACCTGCCTCAAAGTTGTGTTTTCATTTTGAGTGATCTTAGGTGCATCTGTCTTTAAAAGAATATTGCCTCCCCTTTCATCAATGTCAGAAGTGGAATGTAACAGAGCATAGAGGAAACAACGAAACTGATTACACACAAGGTTAAATAGAAACAGACCAATATACAAGCTATAATTTCAGCCTTCTCTAAAAAAAAAAAGTATATACACAACATGCATTCATTCTATATATAGTTTGGGCATAACTTAGCAGGAAAAAGGCTCTGTTCTGTATTGTGATTTCTCAAAGAGGAAAAACAATACTACTTTGCCCACTATCCTGTAGCCTGCCCTTCAATTATACACATCCCTCATTCAAATGTGAAGAAAAAAGGGCATAAACCTTCACCCTGTTATAAATCAATGTGTATTTTAAAAATTTTCTGTATTACACTAAAGACCAGTAGTGCCCAGTTTTGAACAACCTTGTGTATACAAATTAAATGTGCAACTCTTGTCCCTCAATAAGCTTAATGTGATGTTACCTTATCCAGAAATGTTTGGAACTTAAGTTTTTGTATATGCCTACAATTTCTACTGACTTCAAAGATTTCTGTGAGAAAACTTCAAAACTAAGCCGTTTCTCAGATACTTTATATGCAGCAAGATCCTTGGAGCTGACAGCTGGTCTGAAGATGAATGTACAAGCTTCTGCTCAGACATTTTTTAAAGCATAATATTTAATACAATGACATTACCCCTGTTTTTGAATGGCAAACGCCAATTATGATAACTTACTTCCACTTTTTTTGTTTGGTTAGCATGCAAAACTTTGTACATCACACTAAGCATGAAACAGACTCTGTCTCAGAGACAGTCCAAAAACAACCTCTGTTCCATGGTAAATTTTGATACTTCAGAATTTGTTTTCATTCTAAACTAATCACAATTCATTTTGCTAATGCTAGAACATGTTATATAATAATACTTCATTTTGAGAAAAACATTCACAAGAAATCTGGCCAGCATATTCCCATTAAACATTCTGATATTTTTCTTTGCAAGATTACATTTTCTCCACAGAAGACTTTTTTCAACCAGTACTATTCATCCTCCAATTGCAAATAATCCTTGCACTTAAATGTAACAATTTTTGTTAACAAGAGATTTAAAAACTACTTTAAGTACATTAAAAGACATCCAAATTACATTCGAGTATAAAGTAGCAAAAGATGTTTTAATGATGTTAAACAGTGGCTGCATAATGTTTTCTAGCACTGACTATCCTAACATTCAGACTTAAATTGAATTCTAATAAACTACACACAAGGACACTTACTCTTCCGATCTCCCTGCGCAAATTGAATTTCTATCTGACGGCCACAAATCCACTTTCGATCCAAATTATGGAGGGCGTCTTCAGCATCACGGACATCTTCAAATGTGCTAAGTGTTAAGGTACTTGGGAATTTGAGTAGTTTACAACTTTAGAAAGTAGCAGGATGTCCTAATACCAATTTCACAGTCTTTTACAAATTTCTATTAAACAGGGCACGTTAAAACAGTTTCCCACTAACCAAACTGTGGGAGGATTTCTTTTGAGAACATATAAACCCTGTAGTATAAGTAAAACCAAGAATATTTATCCTTTATGCTGTGACTTAACTAACTTGCTAGCTTCCCTTCTTCCACTTATGTGTATGTATAAAAAGTAGCCTTTTCAGGAAAGATATGATTTTAGTTAATAACAATAACACTATTCTCTAGGTCTGCCTTACACAAAGTAGGAAATCATAACTCTAAAAATGCTTTAATGTCAATGGTAAAAAGTGAAAATTCTCCTCTCATGACTAGTTACTCTACTGTGTTAATGGAAATTTTAAATAGGGAGAATGGTTTGTTTTTTTCCACCTACTGCTTACTCAAGTATGGACCACCATATTCTTTGGAATAAAAACACACCGAAACTTTACACTATGACTCGGAAGCTCAATAATACAGTCATTACCAGTATGCTCAGTCCATTAGTGACCACTACTGTAATTCACCCACATTTCTCGAACTAGCTGACTTGAAAGAATGAATAGTCTCTTTTGTCCACATAACTCGGTCCTTCGCCTGAGCAGAAAATAAGTATACCTACAATGTGGTACAGTTTATCTTGATAAATAAACCAAGAATGAATGCATTTTAATTTGAGACCGCAGTTACAATTTCAACACCACTCACAAGAGAAATATTACAGGTTTTTGTCAATAGACTAAACCAGAATCATTTATCAAGTTACCGCTTACATGAGAAACAGAAGAGAACTGTTATTCTGTAGGATACATCAGGTATGACTCCTTTAATCTTGGCCACCATTCAACTTCATCTTGACCTTTACCTCTTTAAGTGCTTGTCAGAAGGACTTGTCATGAGATGCTTGGCCAAAAATGACAGATGGCTTTATCTTTTACTTTGAAAAACAACCTTTTCCCCCTTTTGTAGATAAAGCGAAGCTTTGTCTCCCATTATGGCTTGTCCTTCTTCCAGCTTTTCTTTATTTTTTCTTTTCCCAAACTCTCCCTTCTCTTCAAGCCTGATCCTTAAGAGGTCTTTGGCTTGTCTACTTGCCTTAATTGTTGAACTCTACTCTAAAGGTTCTTTCATGCTTTCTCTTTGGGGTCGCCATTACTGTACAGCTTTACATTCTGAGGCAACAACAGAGGACAGTAAATTAGGGGACAATATTAAAAAAAATAAGTTTACCTCATTTTTATACAATCTGCTTTTGATAAAATGATTCCAGATCCCACGTTTTAAAATTAACAATGTATACCAGCCACAATTTGCTCTAAGAACAAATATTATTTTCAATACCAGTTGTGTTAAGAACATGGTAGAAACTTCAAGTCAGTGATAACTGCCACTTAATTATCATATACTATCAATCTGAGTGACAGATAGAAACAAAAATCTTTTTTTAAACTAGATTTTGTTTAATTTTTTCAAAAAAAGATAACGAGCAATTTGCAAGGTGTTAATCTTTGAAAAAAAGAAACACCACAATATAAGAAAGACACTTATTAGGTACAACACAAAAGTAAATTGCTTTTTCATTTAGATTTGTTACCTCTTACACAAACTTGAATTTCAAACTTCAACACCCTCACTAATCAGCCAGCTGCAGAAAGGATATTGAACATATGCGAATCCTCTTGGGCGACGGGTGTAGAAATCCAGTGGAACATAAACATCAACTATTGGCCCATAACGACCAAACTCACGACGTAAGTCTTCAGACCTGAAATGCCATGAATAAATGTAAATAATGAGAAAAATGTGTAAGCAAGTAAGTTACAAATTTTGTAACTAAAGAAAGGAGTGTACTTGGTAGCCGTGTTAGTCTGAGACAAGAAGACATACAAAAAACTAGAACTCTTGGTCCCAAAATGATACCTTTTATTAGACCAACTGGGAAATCGAAAGAAATTTCTTGCGATTTTCCAGTTGGTCTAATAAAAGGTATCATTTCAGAACCAAGAGTTCTACTTTTCTTATGTAACTAAAGAAAGTAATTGGTCTGGAGAACACCCCCCCCAACTAACAAAACCCCCTAACTAAACCAAGCACTATGGTTACTACTATATTATAGAGCTAGTCAAAATATAAAGGGAAAATATTTTTGGTTAATTTCTTTGTGGCTAAAAGGTCAAGATCTACTGTGTAAGTAATTAGATCAGGGTTAAACTGCACAAAAGAGCTTTTCCAAAAGGGTAGGTTAATTAGGGTCTTGCAACAGGGACAGTTGATTATTTGCTATAGTTCTGGAATCTGGAAATTACGTTGCAAGTGTCAAGTGAAAAGTCATCCAGATGGTTTGTTTGCTAACCAAAGGATCCACTGTACTACTAAAGGTGGGTGGAAAGGAAATGTGTAGGACTGAAGAAAAGATAAACAGTACATATCTAACATTTAAAAAACACTTTAAAGATCGTCAAGTATTTCTAACTTACTTTTTGCATCTTGCAAAAACAAAGTTACAGCATTCAGTTAGTACTGTCATTCTAGCTTGATTTTCCAATCAATCCCAAGCCGCTTTCTACTCAACCAGTATTTATAACCTCATCAAACACAACTCATCTCATCTTAAACAGCTAGTTGAACTGTTTCACTAAGCTGACCAAACACATGGAAGGACAATTCTGTACAACAGATTTGGGGACACCTGAAATTCCCATTCTACAACTAGTTACCTAATAACACCAGCTCTCAAACGGCATGTCTCACTACTTATACTGTTTTATACATATAAAGTTGCCATGATTCAGACATGAACACTTCAAACAAGATTCAAAGTTACCACTGTACATCTCTTTTTTCCTCAAAAGAAAGGAAAGACTGCACATGAGATAGGATTAAAAAAGGAAATTGAACAATGAAATTTAACAACATAATGGTATCTGTACAAAAGAACAGTTTTAACAGTGACTGCAAGAAAGTTAACAAGACACTCATTTTCTTCATAATTTTAAGTGGTCTTCCCTAGCTACTCTGGCTGCAGAAGTAATTTCCCCTCTAAAGCAAGTCACAAAAATCAATGGAGAAAAAATAAAGAAAAAAAAGAGGCCAACCAAAAACCACTTTTATGTTTCCAATTCAAAACTACCGGTATCATGTATCCTCCATATGCAACCCATAATTCACTTAATGATTTTTCTTTCTATGTAATGTAATGCATGCCTCTTTTAGGGTAATTTTCTTTCTACTATGTTTCTATTGTGAATCAGTACTATGACAAGAATCACTACTACATCACATACTTGTTATCTTATATATGCTTTCTTTAAGAATGCTACCCTCAAGTCTGCTTTATAAATTAAAACACTTTTAAAAAGTTTTTAAACAGATTGAGAGAGAGAAAGAGAGAGAACACTACAAAACAAAACAGACAAAAATAAAATCTGCTGAAAATATCCGGGGCAGAAATGTGTGCATGTGCGGGGGGGGGAGGGAGACTGCCAGGCAATTTGGAAGCACCATTATCACATGATGAAATATACAACAGCATGAAGCCCCTTGCATTTTTAAACCCTGGAGAGTTTGACCATAAACACTGCAAACTGAAAACCTTCCCACCTACTGCCTAAGCCTCACCAAAAAACCCACAGAGAAGAACAGTGCAGAAATATTCTGCCTACATGAACACAAACCCCAAGATTAGAGAAACTGACAGAACCAAGAACGTAACACGAGAACTGCTACTGACTCTGTCAGACACGGGTCCACCCCGCAGAGGAATGATGCTGAAAGGGACAGTGAACTGGGTCTGACCAGGGGGTTCCGCTCCTCTCTCACTTGCAGCCCGAGATCTTAAATGCTGAAGCAGGTCCGATGCAAGGGCCGTGCCCCTCATTGCCCTGCTCAACAGTGACGGATGCCCCTTTCCTCCCCTTGGTGGACCTAGCTGCACCCCCAGCTTCCACCACCTCCGAGGGTCCCTGGCTGTACTGCTGTACGGGAGTGGAAAAGAGCCGCCTGGTGTTTATTTTAACACGCTTTGACCTGGCGAGGGGGGGTGGAAACACTCCCAGTGGCCATCCAGGGACGGTGAATTCATCCCCATCCCGCTCTGATTTCCCGCCCTACGAGCCACGGATGGGCGGGAAAGCTCCCCGCGGCTTGGTGCGCGGCGGCGGGTGAGAAGGGGGCAAGGCACGGCCCCCTATAAAAAGCGCGGGGAGGAAGCTCTAAGGGGAGCACAAAGAAGCCGGCACGGCGCGGCCCAGCCTCCCACTCAGGAAGCCGTTGCCTCTCCCTCGTGGCGCGCGGCCTAGCGCGCCCGCCACAGCCTACGCGGGCCTGGCGCCGCCACCACCCACCTGGTGTCGTCGGCCACGTTCCGCACGAAGAGCGAGGTGTTGGGGGGGCGCAGGTAGCGGGACATGGCGGCAGCGGGGGAGGGGGGTGAGGCGAGCGACGGGGCCCGGTGCGGAGCAGAGCGGAGCGAGACGCACGGCGCCACAGCCAACCGTCTCCCCGCCTCTCGCGAGACTGCCGGGGCGCTTCCGGCGAGAACTGGGCCAGAACGAGGGGCGACAGGGGAGGGAAAAAAAGAACCGGCGCCAAAGCCTTCCCCGCGTGCCCCCTCTGCGCATGCACAGATTCCACTCCTAGGAGCGTCCCCCGCCTGCGCATGCGCTTTTTTTTTGACGTCGGTGCTGCGCACGCGCCAGCTTCCCAGTCTCCTCGGGGTGGTCTCTTCTGCGTACGCATGCGCTGTGCCGCGAAGTCGGTTGGAATGTGCGGGTGTCTTGTTTTCCCGCCCAAATGCTGCTGAGGCGCTCGTCGTCTCGGGGGGTATTAACTGCTACCCTGAGAGGCAGAAAGACCTCCCTCCCTCCCTGGAGCCTTACTATCAAGTTTATAGGTGTTATAGTATAAACACCTGGTCCTGCTCCACACGTAGCTAGATCATGCACCAGTGCAGGGGCAGTGGGGCGCAGTTGTGCAGGGCTGAGGTACCCACCTCTTGCCTTGCATGTTCATCTTTGAAATGTCGGCGCTTTGTGCCAAAGACCCTCACGCTATTGGGGCGTGAATACTTTGCAGCGTAAAACAAGCACGTATCTGCATCAGATGGCTTCAGGATCGGAAACGTTGGCACTGGGTGTCTCAGCAGCGGCTGAACTTCCCCGTGGGAGAGCGGTCAGGAACTCCAGCGGGCTGCCTGACTGTGGCAATCGCATCGCAGGGTAAAGCTGATGTTTCAGGTCCCCAGGGTGATTTCATGACACCGATGCCGGTCTTATGGTAAGAACAAATACATGAGGGTCATAACCCTGTGCTCTTTGTTGCTGGCTCACCGTGGGACTTCGACAAGCCTGTTAATGGTGTACATCTTCTTTTCCATGTGGAAAACAGCGATAATAAATTATACTATCAATCCTACAATAACTTTTACAGCACATGGTGTATTGCTTCCTTATGGTGCTTTAAAGAAATAAATAAATTATAAGACACTAATTATTAAGTTGGCCTGTCTATAGTAGCTGACTTAATGAAGCCTTCATTACAGAAGCATCTGGTTGTTCAGGTCATGATTGACATGGTAATGTATAATCCACTTAAACAAATGGAGAAATTATTGTAACACTTCAGGTTTTTATAGTCCTGAAATACCATTCTTTTAGCAACATACCCTCCTGTTTCAGTTCCTGACTTTTCTATTGGATCATTTTAAGTGCTAGAATACAAGTGAAACCATAGCAGCTACAAACATGCAGTCCTACTCTCTTTTCCCAATGTTACTTTAAATGCAGTGAAATGGTGGAAATCATATCAGTGCTGTAGTCGACCTGGAAATGGAGGCTGTTTACTTCACCGTCCTAAACAGAAGTAAAGAATCATAATGGTTATTGTGTCTGAGTAAAGCGCTTGAATCACATTAGTAGGTTTTGAAATATAACTTGTAAATTACACCACAGCTGTTTCTGGTTCAGGTGCTATCCTATCTAGAAGTGGGCATTTGTGCTGAGTATGATTTGGAATAAGTATACATTAAAATCCTATTCACACACTTACACATGCACACAAGTTTCTTTAGAAGAACCTGAAATAGGTGGTGCAAAAGCAGGCAAGATTAAATTTACACTCTGAATAGTGTAACAGCTGTGTAATACCAAAATGTTTTCTAGTTCAGCAGTTCTCAACCTTTTTTTACCAGGACCCATTTGTAAACATTACCTCAGTGCCCCTCACTTGTGAGGGGGTAGGGCAGGGGGGGACCCAAGCAGCAAACTGCAAGCCTGCAAGGGAAAGGCCATGGTTTCCCATGTTTTTCTCCTTTAAATGACCCTTTTGTATATTCTTGCGACTTACTTTGGGGTCATGACCCACAGATTGAGAAACACTGTTCTAGTTGGTACATCAAAGTTTGCTCTTAGAAAATTGTACGAAACACTGAAGTCGCCACATAAAATTTGATCTTTAGCATATATACATGTTCTCAGGGAAATTACATACTTTTTCAAAACCCTGTGGAATTGGGAGCTAATAGAAACAGTTCAGAGCAAGATAGATCTTGTCTCTTTACTGTTCATAATTACAAGGTATGGTAATGCAGAAGGTAGGACAGGGTGGCATCACTAACTGATTCAGAAGATGAACTTTCATAGGCAACAGCCTCTGACAAACTATGAAAACTTATGCCTCTTTGAACGAGTTAGTCTCTGAGGTGCCACCTTGCCCTACTACCATCTACCTGACTTCAGAGTAACAGCAAATTACCAAGGCAGAAATGTAAACATTGTCATGAAGTGTTCTCTGTGATTTCACTTGACTTTGAGGGAGGATGGATCCACCATTCTTTCAATATAAGTATTTTCAGTTGATAAATAATAACTAATATCCCAGAGAGGAAGACAAGGTTCTTAGCGCAGACAAGGGCCTCCGGTTCCTAAAAGCTTGAAGTAAAACACTGAACAAAGGACTTGTATGGAGCCTCATATCTCAGCAGCAGTGGAATGTGCTGTGATTAGTTCAGCTGTATAGCTGGCAATGTTAAATAATTTGGACATTGCAGTACAGACGGTCCTCAGATTTACGAGACAATTGGTTCCTGAAAACCATGTCTTAAGCCGAAACGTTGTAACTTGGAACCGATTTTCCCATAGAAAACAATGTTATAAATGGGGATTGGTTCCTGAACCAAGGCCCGATACTCTATTTTCCCCCAAAATAACCCAGAATTTTGTACGCGATCAATTATAGATGAGTAATAGATCAATGTATTTATATTGTAAATAGCAATCATATTGATTTGGAAGGACTTCTTTGAGGAGACTTTGCTGGGCATTTTGAAGGGCTCTTGGTTGGATTTTTTGAAGGGTTCTTGGCTGGAGTCTTCCCAGGAGTCTCAGCTGCAGGTTTTTCTGGAATCTTGTCTGCTTTCTTCAAGAAAGTGTCCAAGGAAGTTTGGACAGATGTTCTCCAGGGAGGTGGGTGAGGCAGCGAACTTGTTCACTGGTGTGGCTTGGCATCAGATCAAGTGTAAAATTGAAACTGACATCATAAAGTTAAAACAGGGTGTCAATTTATAAACGTTGTAAGTGCAAAACATTGTAACTCAAAACGTTGTAAGTCAAGGACTGCCCATACATTTGCTTTTAGATTGTTTTACCGAAGCTTAGGTGCAACATGTTAGAAACAATTTCAGTTATCACTGTTTTGAGGATATATTACATTCCCTATAATTTTGTTTCCTTTTGTGTAGCGGAACCTATATTTGCTGACCTTTACTTTGAGATAGTAAATTGAATAGATTATGAGTTGTGTTGTGAAAGAAGATTAATTTGTAGTAGCTTGGGAACAATTATGTGGATATTAAAACAATGTATTCTTATGTATTAAAAATCATCAGTGCTTTCTTAGGTGGGTGCTTTAAATTAGTTTAAAAAATACATTTTATGTCATGAGTCTAAACCAACATATACATTTTTGTCACAGGCGTTACAAATTACAGTGATTACAATTCTATTTAATGACAAATAAAATATGTTTAGTTAGATTAGTTTAGAAAGTATCAAATCTTGTATCATTCATTTTTCAGCTGTAGTTTTGTTTGTTAAAGCATTGTGGTTTTCTGGGAATTTACTTTTAGAATGTTAATATCCTTTTGTTGTTTCCTCATCTAGCTAGCAGCAGTTACTGAGCAACTTACAAACATTACCTTTTTGAGTTCTTGAATAGTTTCATGCAGCAAACAGCTTTAAAAGAACTTTCTTCCCAAGTGCTGGCAAATGGCCTGAATCTATTCCAGGGATCTTGTATACATGTGTAACTCCTCCTGAACTCAAAAGCTTTAGAGCTTGTTTATACAAATACAGCATGCCTCAGTTACTGGCATAGCTGTGCCAGTAAAACTCCTCTTGCAGACACTCTGATTTCAGAATAAGGATGCTTTTTCCTTATTTAGATTATTTTGTATTCAAAGTATACAAGGTAAGCCAGAAAAAGCACTCTAGTTCTAAGCTAAGTGTGTCCACATGATGAGGTCTAGCAGTAAGCTATGTTGGTAGTTTTCCCTCTATAGAAGAGATCAGATTCTGTTCCCAGTCAAGTCATTTGAAAAACTTCCACTAACCTCAATGTAGAGTAGGGCTGCTAGTATATATAATAGAATCCATTTAACTGGAAACCTGAAAAATGGCATGATTACTATCCCAGCAAACATTTTAGTGAGAAAACAAAAGGTCTGGTGGTGTCACAGTACATGCCCTATACGTCAATTAAATGTCAATAATAAAGTAGGATGAATGATGATGCTTTTTTTACAAGAAGCTGAACTTTGCAAAGATGGACAGTTGAGAGTAACAGGTTAGGAAACCTACTTCCCATCTTCAATTCTATGCATTTTATGCCTTAACCTAGACAGTAGACAGCAATCTAATCTGAAAACAGTCATGCTAATCAGGACTATTACAAGGATGCTTCCTTATTTTTAGATCTGGAAAATATCATTAATTGCCTAATTTTTGGTTTAATTTCTTTTGGTCTTGAACACATTAACTGTGTTTGCAATTCCTTTTGTAAGTTGGTTAACAAGTCATTTATATTATTTAATTACTGAGAAGGTGCAATATGCTTTCCAGCTCTTAACATGTTTCTACTTATATTAATCTTACAGATACAGCTGTGCATAACAGCCACATAAATGTCTGATTCCTCCTTGCTGCATAAGAAGTAGATGGCAGATTTTTGGTAGGTCACTTAGACTAACTGGACAAAAAAGAGAAAAGGAGGTGGGATTTATTAAATTTATATTCTTTCTTATTTGGCATAAGAGGTCAGGAAATATTCATATCAGCTTCTGTCACCTCCCTGTTGCTGTTCTGGTGAGCCACTATTTTACTAGAGGCTACAGGTCCTCTACTTCTTTCACAGGAAAGTCTACCCTCATAATTATTGGGATGTCTGCCTATCTTGGAAACAGGCCTCTGCTACTTAGAAAGATGGGCCTCATAGTATAATCAAGGAAAATGCATTCTTATATTAGCCAAAGTATGAGATGCAAGGAAAGCAGAGATCTTGGTTCTTTATTTTTTTGTAGCACTCTTTCAGAATAAGAAAAATCACAACTGATGGAAAATGTGCTTT